ATCCACCCAGATCTAAAACATTTATGCTAAGTACAGTTGGCCCTTGAGCAATGTGGGTTTGAACTGTGTGGGTCCAACTATACACAGATTTTCTTCTGCCTCTGCCAACCTTGAGGCAGCAAGATAAACCCCTTCTTCCTTCTCCTTCTCCTCTACCTGCTCAGTGTGAAGACTGTGAGGATGAAAATCTTAATGATGATACACTTCTACATAATAAACAGTAAATACATCTTCTTTTCTTTATGATTTTCTTAACATTTTCTCGAGCTTACTTTACTATAAGAATACAGTATATAACACACATAACATACAAAATATGTGTTGACTGTGTTCAAAGTAAGGCTTCTAATATACACTGGAATATTTGTCATTATATGGGATTCAAAAGTTATACATAGATTTTTCAGTGAACCTCCATGTTCAAGGATCAGCTCTGCTTGAATTGTGAAAACATGAATTGTTAAATAAGAAAATCTCCCTTTCATTTAAATGTCACCTCAGGGAATCATCTGAATATTTGAAGAGGGGATTTTTGAGAAATTATAAGAAGAAAAATAGAAATGGATATCTTTGAGGTATCACCAGCTATCAAATAATATTCATTTCTGAATATTAGTTCATTAGTACAGGGTATATCACATACTAAATATAACAAGAGAATTTCAAGTTAGCACCAGATTATTTAGAGAAATAAATGTTTCCTTCTGCTCTGTTCAATATAGAATATCTGGAAGAGAATGCAAATGCAACATACATATGGAGTATATAATGTTGCATACTATGAATATGTCTTTAGAGATAAGATATTGTTATAGGGTGAGGTTGGTGCATGACTGTGCATTTATACCATGAACCTCAAAGGCTAGCCAAATATATGGCCTAAATGATGAATGAATTGAAAAGCATGACCTTGAAGAGCATGGACCCCAAGATTTATTGAACATGAAAAAAATAAAGGAAATAAAGCTATTCGTTGAATTGGCATAATTAATTGCAACCATGTCCAAGCTAAAAAGGGCTTATATTTAAAGAAAGTTACAGGAAAATATTACATTTGTAAACTTGAGATTCACAATAACCCTATGAAGTAGTCCTATACCACGAGAAAATGTGAAAAAAAAGTTTCAAGTAACTTACTAAGAAACCACAACTAGAATGTCCCCAGTGACATCATAGTGAGGAATATTTTTATTTTGGCTTAAAATATTCCATAACACCACATAGCATGTGGTAGGTTAATTTCTTTATTTTTTGCAGATAAACTACTTCACACTTGTCCCTTCTCCTCATTCACAAAAAAAAAAAAAAAAAACCATGTAGCTGAATAATAATGTGCCTGAGTTGATTCTCCTGGGGTTGACACAGAATTCTGTTAGGAAAAACATACTGTTTGTCACTTTCTTGCTAATAATTTCTACCATCAAGAGCAGCCAGGTGCATGGGAATCCAGTGTGTTTCTTCCTTTTGTGTTTATCCCCATCTTTACTGCCTCTCTCCTTCCTCTAGTCACCCCCTAGAGTGACTACGGATGCCCATTTGTAGATCTCTATCTCTTTCAGGGAGTGCATGATCTGAGTCTTCCCATCCCATTCCTTGGTTTCCTGGAGTGCTTCATCCTTACCCTCATGGCTGTTGACTCCATGTGGCCCTCACTAAGACCCCGACTACATGATCCTCATAAGCCACATCAGGTGCGGTGGTGGCTGTGGCCTAGGAATAATCCCACGTGCATTCTCAAACTCAGATTTTTCTCTCCCTGAGTTGGCCTTTCTGTGGTCCCAATATGATTGGTCACCATTTCTATGACTTGCAGCCCTTATTGAAACTTGACTGCTCAGACACCTGTGAGATCAGCCTGGTGCTCCTGGCCGGGCCATTCATACAGTGAGCTTGTCAGACTGATGTGTCTCCCTTACATTCTTTGAGAAACCACAGTGCCGAAAAAAGGGAGAAAGCCCACTCCAACTGCATCTGCCACATCACTGTGGTCATCTTTCTCTTTGTACTTGTTTATTTATATACATATACCCTGCAATTGCCTCCCCTGTGGGTAAGATGCAGACTTTGATACAATTAGAGCACATTTGCTCAACTCTCTGATTTATTTTCTAAGAAATACAGAAATGAAAAGTACCATGAGCAAGTTGTTGAGCGAGAATAGATGATCTCAGAAGACATAGATAAGTGGAGGTTTCAAAGCCATCTTCACAGCTTGTGTTGACCTAGACGTCAATAAAAACATGAGACAATAAGACATCTTATTACTACGTATCATGGATTCAGTCTAATCCCATCTCAGGGAATGAGGGCTGTTACTTCAGGAAAATAGGCAATAGAAATAGATATATTAGTTAATGTTGAGTCAAGATGGAAGGAGAGAAAACTACATGTATAAACCTGCAACTAAGATATTGAAGATCTTGTTTAATGATGATGATGATGATGACAGCTAGTGAGAACAGTAATACCAATTATTAAAATGAAAAGAAAATGTGGTCACTAACCCAGGTCAGGAATTAAATATATTTTCAAAAATAAAATAAAATAAATGGATTTTCAAAACTAGAATCCAGTGATTGAATGGTATGTTAAGTTTCCTTAAGGTAAAAACTCTGCACTGAAAATATGTAAATATCTTTTCATACTTTCCCCAAAGGACCTGGTAGCACTGGTATAACTTGTTTAATAGGGAAAGGAGACACCAAGACTATTCAAGGATTATTAGTTGTGGGTGCAGAGCTGACCATAATATCAAGAACCCCGGATTCCATTATGCATCTCTGTGGCTAGATTGAGAGATTATGGACAGCAGGTTACAGAGATAAGGCCCAAGCATATCCTACAGTCTGGCTAATAGGTTCATGGGCTCAACTCAGTTTGATTTTAAGTTTAACTCAGATTAGTTTCCCAGTCTCTGAATCCACCTGGAAACTGGCATAAATCTGATTCATTCCTGTACTAGGAATAGTGCCCTTATTCTAGGAAGGACCAAATGCAAACTCCTGAACCATTCTCTGACCCTCGAGAAAGATACTGAATTAGAAGCAATCTCTGACTCTGGAAGATACTGCAGATATTAGTGTAACCACCAAGGAAGTGCTTACCAAGGCAGCTGGGACCAAACTCTCATAGACAAAGTTTTCAGTCACCTCACAAGGCAAACAACCCACATCAACTAAAGTGGGAAAGGTGGGAGAGATGTAGAATGGCTGGTAGATGAGCAGATGTTCTGTACCAGTTATGGCTCTGGGAATAGCTGGAACAGTTAGGAATAATGTCTCTGAGTTCTGTGTCCTTCATTAGATCCAGTGTGGAAATCATGACCGTGATTCTGAGTCACCACTTCCCAGACCTTGGACACATGCCTGGTTGTGAACCCTGGATGTCACCCCTTTTCATTGCATCTTCTCTCAGCTAGCTCCTTTAGTGTCCCCTAGGACAGGACTATTTTCTGTAGGGTGTCATGTGTCACCTGCTGTGGTCAGGGCATCCAAGCCCAATTCAACTCGACCACCATGTTTCACTTGACAATCAGGATACACTATAAAGGGGCAAGTTATGTAACACTGTTTATACTATTTCTCTCTGTGAATATAAGCACAGTATAAATTAGAATATATGAAGTGGTTAGAGGTATAAGATTTTTTTAATGGAAGAATTTATAAGGAACTGCTAACCAGCAGTACCTTCTTAAGAAAGGATGAGAAAGAAATACTTAATTTCTTTTTTCATTTTATATACTATTGTAATGCTCAAATCTCCAAAATGTATGCATTTTCAATATTGGCATGTAAATAAGTCATCTATATTGTGATTTTATGCCACTTTTGGTTTTCTTATTTTTATGTCATTGTATTATAACAACAAACTGATAAATATATCTTACAAAAAATGGAATTTCTGTTAAACTTTATGAAGTGTCTATCAAAGTGTATTTCCTCTGCCATCCAAATTGTTACCAAAATGAGAGTATCATAGAGAATTACAAGTTAATCCACAAGGAGAAAAAGAACCGGACAGGAATATGAGTTGGTGAAAACTTTCATACATTTTTAAAAACATAAGAGAAAAGCATTAGCTAAGGACTTAGCAGAATTGAAGATATTACAACCATCTCAAGAGGAAAAGAGAAAACCAGCCGCTAATTCACCTGCAACCCTTTTGAGATACCGAATGTTGGAGCACCATGTTCCACAGAATATAGGGATGAAATAAACATACATTAAATTGGACGACACTTACTTTATTTCTCAGGCTGTTTCCCACAAATGGGGGACACCTCATCTACATTATTCTGCAGAAGTTGGAGGTTTATTCTTTTGACAAATTTAGCCTAAAGAATTTCTGATATTAGTGTGAAGGACAGTGCTGACATGTGCATCGGCTTACACAAAGACAAGTGAAAATCAACACGGTGAACTATGCGTGGGCCCCTTTCCTCGCGCTGCTCCTGGACGTCAGCAGCCAGTGCATGCTGTAAATTCAGATTTCCTTTGCTATGCTCACAGCCTAAGTAGGAGAGTAAAAGACATTTTTTAGGAGAAACTATATGACTGATAATACTGCTTGACAACTCACAAATTAATCCCCAAACTGTACAAACATTGCTCACAGATTTGGACATTCTAAATACCTTTTCTCTTTCATTTCCTCAGCTTTAAATATAAACGTTTTTGAGGGGGATGACAGAATTAGCTAAAGCAAAGGCTGGTGAATAGAAACCTCTGTTCAAATGAAAGCAAAGAGAGACTGATAGTCTGTGCATTTTAGATGTTGAGTTTAAGATTTCTTTCTCATAGGTAGTTCAGGAAAGTATCTGATTATGAAACATAAGAAAAAATATGATAATGAGGAGAAATAATCCCTTACTTCTTTGGAAGAGGGAATGCTTTCATTTTCTACCCCCAAATCCTGTGAGGTTATAATTGTCTATCTTCTGTAGATGAGTTAACCAAAGCTAAGACGATGTAAGATCATCTAGCTTAAATCACTTCTTCCCATCATTTCCCATAAGCCCCCAAGAAAACATTTCTTCCCCAGAGTTTTTTCATTGCATTCTTTACTTCTGAATTTCTCAATGTATAAATCAGAGGATTTAACATGGGGGTGATAATGGTGTAAAATACAGCCACCATCTTATCCTCTGCAAAGGTGGTATCAGGGCGCATGTACATAAAAGTACATGGGCCGAAAAAGATAATGACCACGGCAATGTGTGAGCCACAGGTGGAGAGGGCTTTGCGTCTGCCTTCTGCTGACTGCTTTCTCAGGGACACCAAGATAATGGTATAGGAGATGAGTAAGATCACAAAGCTCCCCAGGGCAATGGTGCCACTGTTGGCTGTCACAACAATGCCAACAACATGTGTGTCTGTGCAGGCAAGTTTCAGTACAGGGTGGACGTCACAAAAGTAGTGATCTATCTCATTGGGCCCACAAAAAGGTAGTTGCACTACCAGAGCCACTTGGATAATGGAGTGTAAGAACCCACCTACCCATGTCCCCAGTAACATTCTATTACATCTCTCCCGGTCCATGATTTTCATGTAATGCAAGGGTTTACAGATAGCCACATAACGGTCATAAGCCATTACAGTAAGGATGAAAATCTCAGTGCAACCAAAGAAATGTACCCCAAAGAGTTGCAACATGCACCCTACATAGGAGATAGTTTTCTTCTTTGCTAACAGGTCAACGATCATCTTGGGTGCTGTGACCGAAGAGTAACAAATGTCCACAAAAGACAAGTAGCTGAGAAAGAAATACATGGGTGACTTGCTAAGGTTGCCCCTGCAAACTGTCAGCATGATGAGGAGATTTCCCAGAAGGATGACTGTGTAGAAGCAAGAGAACACCACCAAACACACTTCCTCAACTTCTGGGCTCCGGGAAAGGCCCCAGAAAATGAATTCAGTTACGTTGTTTATTTTTTCCATGGAAGGAGTCCACCAGGTTGAGTTCCCGGGAGGCAGTTAAATTACCTGCAAGAAATGTAAAAAGGACATACAGCATTTATTTCGACATAAGAAAGATAATCATAGCAACTGAAAATGGAAAGATGAGCATGCATTGCTGATCACCATGCACATTTAAAGCAATTGAAGTCATTCTGGTCCCCAGAGGAGTCGTACCGTTCTTGAAGTCTATTCTGGTCATTTTACTTCAATATAAGATCTCATTCATTCACTTCAGATGAGGAAGCAAAGTCCAGAGAGAGAAAGCAAATCTACTCAATCTCACATGTTACCAAATTTCTCTCCTCTCAAACCTTTTATCAAGGTTTATTCATGTGTTTCTAACTTACTCAGTTTTTATTTTGTATAGGCATTCAGTATTGAAATAGCTTCTACCTTTTTGGATATGGTAACATTTACATATCTGGAAATGCTTGCTTTATTTTTGACCCATAAGTCAAGACATATGCCCACATGTCCCCTTCTGAGCAAGGTCCTCCCGGTCACTTATCACTCATCACTCATAAGAACTGGGTAACCTCTGCAAGTTCTCCTTCTTTTGAGGATAGGTCTTTGCGCATGTGAATTTATCACTTCACCCCATTAGATCTCAAGTTCTTATTCATAGTCAATATGTGGTGCCAGGTAGTAGAAAAAGCACAAAATTACACAAACTTGATTCTAAAATTATAATGCTGGAACCTGGTAAATCATTTAACTTCATAGAGCTTCTCATCCCATTTGTGAGATGACAGAGTTTCAATATCACCATCACCTGCCACATTAATGGTTATTTCTACCACAAAAGTAAATCACTTCCATCAGTACAAAGTAGCCATAACACCCTGACAGAGAGGGAGAGATGGAGATGAGAAAAGATTAAACAATATAAGAAACTGTTAGAGACACAGCAAGGCATGGTGATGTGAAAGGAGGGTTCATCATAATATATCCATGTGCAAACTCAGGTATGTTAGGATTCCCCAAGATTTTCTTTCCCTTGGTATTTTAAACATTATCTGTTAACTGAAACAAAGAAAAAGGACAGAGATGAAAGACTCTGTCCTTTAATTTAATGTCAATAGTTCTTCAAGTACCCTCCTAATCTTTAACATTTCCTGCTAGCTGTATTCATACTCACCCTTGGATGAATTCACTATTTCTGGAATAGATCATCACTCATGATAATGTGATTGGGTTTAGAAAAAGAACAGTATTTATTTAAATGGATAAATTTGCAGTAGTGAAGTTTCAGGCACTCCGGTGGGTCATTGGTATGTTAGAATAGAAAAGAGTGTGTGGAATCGTTTTGATTAAAGGGCCTTTTAGCTGTTCTTCTTTAAATTAAGCCATAGGTGTAAGTAATTTCCCAAGTTATACATTGTCCACTAGAGACCGAATTCCTTCAAGATCAATCCCATTTGGTGCTTACAGCTCCCACTTAACTGTGTGGTTTCAGCTATCCCTAAGCCATTCATTGTCCCGGGCACGTCCAGCTCTGGGGAAACCCCAGGCTGCACTTCCGTATATTAGAGTCAGTAGTAGTCACTACAAGGTGTGCCTTCTCTTACACATTACACAATAATAGTAATAGCAATAGTATAATCTAGATACAGACTCAGGATATCGCCTGAATTTATATACTCATTTCCCTTTGCTTTTCCTGATGAATTAAAAAAAAGAAATACTATTATCTACTAAGAGACTCCTTTAATATAAGGAAGCTCAAATCATAGCAGTTTCTGGCAACTCTTATTTATGTTACTTGGCTGTTATAGAGAAGAAACTGAGCATTACACACCAGCCTGGGGACAGCTCCTCCGCTGTCCATACCACTAGGTCCTGGAGGAAGCCTCATCTCTCATTAAACCAAGATCCATGGCAAGGGTCCGTGCCTTCCCCCCTCCCTGAGAATTTCAGACGTGATAATGACACACTTTCCTTTGAAATGATTAACATTCCTTTCTTCATAACCATGCTACCCTATCTCATACTTATGTGTAGAACTTATTTCTTTATCTTTTTAATAATTGAATTCTCTCTTTATTTCAAAGACCAACGTCTTGTAATAAATTGTGTGTTCAAAATATAGAAATTGAATTGAATTTCTCTTTTCCAGGCACATTCAGTATTTATTTCAGGAAAAAACAAAAAACAATCTCACCGGTTCTTTTCAGAAGTTGAGTTTGCTTTATGTTCCTATTTCTTCTTGCTTTAATTTAGGTGCAGCTGTCCAAAGTAATGTGTGAGTGATCCCTGAGGAATTATTTTCTGAATAATTAATACCAGAGAATCCCTGACCCCCTAAACCCAAAGGCTGGCAGAAATCAGTCTTCATGTTTTCTGGTTCTCTCATCTAATGAAATCTGCCATTGCACATAGTCTTTGGCAAGAAATGCTCTGCTCTCCACTTCTTGTGGGTCTATTTAAAGAGGATGAAGCAAAATGATAATGACCTTGGGGAAAGCATTTCCCCAATGTCTTCCTCCATAGTCAAAACCAAATTGAAGATCTACCAAAGAACTTAAATTCCCAATGTCTGTCCAATACTATTCTCCACTAAGAAACTCCTTTAATTTTCACGTTTAGGTCCATAACCTTAACCCACAGCAATTCAATGAACAGAAGTAATAGCTTTATCATTATAAGCTTTGATCTGTGAATTAACATGCTTCAACATATACAACACACCGTACAAAAGCTTATTCATATTACTTTAGGAAGTGCAATTTCAGGAAAGCAGTAATGAGGGGGAAAGTAAGTGGGGAAGGAAGGAAAGAAAAGAAGTAGTAGAAGGAACATACATGCTTCCAGCACTTGGTAGTAAGCACAGCTGATTTCTGGATCTCATTAAATCTTTAGGTTTTTTTTTATTTTTTACTTTTAATTAAATCATAGCTGTGTACATTAATATAGTCATGGGGTACAGTGTGTTGTTTTTATATACAATTTGAAATATTTTCATCAAACTGGTTAACATAGCCTTCATGTCATTTTCTTAGTTATTGTGTTAAGACGTTTATGTTCTACATTTAGAAAGATTCACATGTACCCTTGTAAGATGAACCATAGGCGTGATCCCACCAATCACCCTCCCTACACCTATCCTACCCCCTCCCCTCCCCCTCCCCTTTCTCCATATTCTTGGGCTATAATTGGGTTATAGCTTTCCTATGAAAGCTATAAATTAGTTTCATAGTAGGGCTGAGTACATTGGATTCTTTTTCTTCCATTCTTGAGATACTTTGCTAAGAAGAATATTTTCCAGCTCCATCCATGTAAACATGAAGGAGGTAAAGTCTCCATCCTTCTTTAGGGTTGCATAGTATTCCATGGTGTGCATATACCACAAGTCATTTATTGACTGTCTACATGTTGCTTTTCCAAATCTAAACATAGCTAGTAAGGGGTGGGGAGAATGCGTCCATTGGCTTACTTTTCACATCAAAGTTCATTCTGTGGTGAATCATTTTCCTACAGGGGATTGCCATGTCACTGGGCCCTTCCTGCAGTTGTAGGAGAGGACAGAATCCAAATTGGCATCAAGGGACTTTGTAGCAGGAGACAAGCTTTCTGGGACAGCTGTCAGGCCTAGTAAGGCTCCAGTCACGTCCTAAAATATCTATCACCTTTGTAGCCACAAGGAGTAACTAAAGAAGGACTCTGCAAGAGCTCATGTGTATGTGATCCAGGTCCTGTCTGATCACGCCTGCAAGTGGCCTGAAATGTGGAGACGAGTGTCCAGAGGCCTTTATCTAGATTCTCTTACTATTGCAGAGAAGTTCAGACCATCGCTACAGCATCTCCATCTGCATGCAAGACAAGTGTAAGAGTCTGTTGTCATAAAAAATTCAGAACAGCAGAACCTTGTTTTCTTTATGCTGATTTGTATTTTCTGATGATATTGGGATTCTAGCTGAAGAGTGAGATACCTTGTCATCTTTCATGAAAAGTGAGGGAATGAGAGATGCAAGTCAACTTCTTCAAGGTGGTGGGAATTTCCTCAGAAGACTTTAAGTGGAATAGAAAGTCAATCATTTCTGCTAATGATGCAGCTGATCTTAGGGCTACAACTCACCAGATGGCTCATCCAACCACCCAGGCCGGGCCCCTTCACACTCTGCTCTTAGCCCTCTGTTGCTCAATAGTTTAGGTGACACTTCATATAAAAAAGGATTTGATCTTTTCTTTCCCCTTGTGGGAAGATCCCATTGAAATCTAGAAGTGTCCATAGTTACCTCACAAATGATGGAAGTAGCACCCCGACGTGTGTAATATAGGGTATATCCAAAATTCAATGACCCTTCAAGGACTGTGA